TCGTGATAATGCTACATAAACTTGGCTACAACTAAATACGAAGTTACCTATATCCATGATAGCATTTTATAGACTCAGTCCTTGACTTTTATGAATAATAATTCCATAACTTAAAGACAATGGAAATTGCTTTCTAATGACATATGCTCTATCCATTACCTCAAACTTAACGCTTACTCTTTCAATTAAATATTTTATTCCTGACGATAAGAAAATGTTTATTTTTTCTATATAGTTGGTTGACGTATCCTCTACAATTGAAATAACAGTAGCAATTGTACCATTTACATGATCCAAACTAGCATCAATATTACGCCGTACCATAACTTTTGCTCCGACCTTAATAATAATTTGTTTTGAAAGGCCAGCTTTTTTAGAATTATTATCATCATTATCTGACAATAACTTTAATACTTTCTTTTTTACATATGGAATACATTCAATAATATCTTCAGCAATCAATAATATTTCTTTTGAAGATATATGATTTAGCATTGCAAGATTTAGAACATCGCACATATGACAAGTAGGTAATAAGCACACAGTGTCCGGTGGCAAATCATTGATAAAGTTACATAATTCATTTAATCTAGACTTAAATGAAATGCATTTAAAAAATATTTTTCTATCTTCTAGAATTTCTAAATCAGATTTATTCAGTAAACCAATTCGAATTCTGGATAACAAATCGCAATAAGATGTATCTCTTTGTTGACGCATATTGATTGTTAATTCGTCATAGTCAAATAAATAGTCCACAAATTAACAGTACCTAAAGAACCAAGATATTTATTAATATTTGCATCCGATAATTATACAAAAATAGGATCTTTGTGTACAGATAATAAAAGTGGTAATTGAGGTAGATGAAAAACGAAGCAACGAAAGCAAATAAAATTAAAAATAATTAAACAATGGAGAATGAAATTAAGATTTAGACAAAACACTTGGCGTACCCAAATATTATAAACTGTCAAATATATAAATAGTCTTAACACATTCAATATTAACTTTTAGAAATATAAATTGCCATTAGATAATTATAAAATCTACCAACGCAATTATTAGAAGATTGAAATGTATAATCTATTACAATTTTTGTTTTAATGCATCCTAGGTACGCCAAATGTTTTTGTTTAAATCTTAATTTTATTTTTCATTGTTTTATTATTTTTAATTTTATTTGCTTTCGTTGCTTCGTTTTTCATACACAACATATTTTCGCGTTATCAGTTGGCATAACTTTTTTATTTCATTACTTTTTTTTAAAGATTAAAAAGTAACACTTTTTGTACAAACTTGCATTAATAATTTTTCCTGAATATTTTTTCCATGCAATGAAATAATTTTTAAAATATAACATCCCATATTATTTTCTAGGTCCTTATTCTTTTATAACATTTTTTAAAATCTATATTTGCGGAACAAACGCTGGAACGCGTATACTTGCAGCTTCTTTTTCTTTCTTTTAAAAGTAATTTTTTTTGGATTTCACATCTTTTTTACACACATTTGAATTATTATAAATAGTATTGAGTTGGTAACATTTTCATAGAATATTGAAAATCCTTTTCTTGAGTTTGATATCGCTTATCTCATACACATGTATTCTATATATTAGAGTATGTTCTCAAGTTCAACAAAAGGTTCAGTTATACTTATTACTTTTAATCAAGAAATATAACTCTGTTATTGTTATCGTTACATTTAAAGTGATTAACATTTGTACTAAAAAATTACAGCCAAAAAATTACTTATCTTCTAACATAAGCAGCACTTAACATAAGTAGCACTATAAACTATACAGTGGTCACTCACTGTTTATTAAAAAATTTGCTACCACCATTACTAATTTTACAAAAACTACTCGTTATGACTTTGATAATTTGGAGAGTAATGAATTGTTATAGAAAGCACTGAGTTGACATGGATCAGTCAAGATAATGATCTTCAAAACTTGATAAAAACAATACCAACTCAGTATTTTCTATAATAATTCATTACTCTTTAAATTATCAGAACGATAACGAGTAGTTTTTATAGAGATTTTATAGAGATTTAGTAATGGCGATAGCAAGTTTTTCAATAAACAATGAATGACCACTTTGTAACGCTGTTACGTTAGAAGGTTAAAAGTAATTTTTTGTCTGTAATTTTTTAATACAGATATTAATCACTTTAAATGCAACGATAACAGTAACAGAGTTATATTTCTTGGATAATAATAATAAATATAACTGAACCTTTTGTGTTAAACTTAAGAATACATATGCATGAGATACGCATCATCGAACTGTCAAGAAAAGGAACTTCAAAACTTGATGAAAACGTTACCAACTCAATACTTTTTATAATAATTCATTATTATTTAAATTATCAGAATGATAACAAGTAGTTTTTGAGTAATGAATGAACGTGAACTTAAGACGATTTTAAATATAAGACTGGACTATGAATACAGCCCATTGGGACGACACAACGCATGATGCATAACGCACTTGTCCCAGTGGAACGATTTGATTGGTTAACTCAGTTCTTCAATCAAAGCGCTGTTACAAATATATGGATGTCACATATGTATCATTTAACTGAAACATTTAAATCAAACTTTAAATAATTATCTGAGTATTTTATAAATAATTAGACAAGTTTCAGATGACAAATATTAACTGATGCGTACCTAAATAAAAGAATGGATCTAAGTATCTTACATATAAAATCGCTTCGCTCTCATATGCATAGCGCGTGTCTTTTTGTAATTGTAATTGATAACAGACAAATTGTCAAGACTCAATAATCATCATACTTTAGATGATGTTTAGAATAGGACTTACATATATAACAGGAAAGTATAAACAAGTGAATTCAAATGTTCAATTTCTAACATCACAAGTCTACATGAGGTTGTCAATTAATCATTGAAATCAGTGTTCCGATGTTGGAGAGGCTTCACGCGCATGCGCGACAATCTCTATTCGAAAGAGAGAGACAGAGAGTCTCTGTCTCTCTCTTTCGAATAGAGATTTATCACATTAACACTGATCGAAAGTATGATTACCACTTAAAAAAATATAATTTTTTTTCTTTGATGTTCTGTTTTCTGTTGTATGTATAAGTTTCCTGTTGTATATATAGATCCTACTTTAAACACCATCGAAAATATAATGATTATTAAGCTTCGACAAAAAACGAAACATGAAAGAAAAAAATTGTATTTTGCTTAGGTGGTAATCATGCTTTCGATGGCATTTAGAATAGGATTTAATCAATCGAATAATATAAATTTTTTTTGCGACGTTGACAACTTCCTGTAAACACTTTGTCTTGTGATATTGTATTTAGGAGACAATATGAAGCTGCAATTTTAGTTGTCTATGTTACAGCGTTATTTTAATCCCCTATCTTACAGAACGTTAAGTTGTGCTTTCTTTCCTTTTTTGTTTTGACCATAAAAACTTTTTTGCGACATTAATTCACAACCTCCTGTAGATTCATTATTGCTTAAATTACCAGAGTGGTAACAAGTGGTTTTTACATTATTTAAATTATTAAAATAGTACTGAGTTGGTAACGTTTAACCCAAGTTTTGAAGATCCTTTTCTTCAAAATTCAATGTCGCTCATCTCTTGCACATATATTCTACATCACAAGTAAACCACAAAACTTTTGATTAATAGTATAATATAATTAATAGTATATTAAAACTGGTGATTATCTTGTAAATGCACATAGAATACATGTGCACAAAGTAAGCGACATTAACCTGTCAAGAACAGGATCTTCAAAACTTGATAAAAATCTCATCAATATCAACTCAATACTTCCTATAACACTCCTCAAATTATCAGAGTGGTGACAAGTAGTTCTTGCAGAATTAGTAGTGGTGATAGCAAGTTTTGAAGATCTTGTTCTTGACAGGTCGATATCGCTTACCTCATATATTTGTATTCTACATGCATTTATAACCATAAAAGTTTTAATTATATTATATTAACCAAGAAATATAATATAATTAAAACTTGTGATTACCTTGTAAATGTATATAGAATATATGTGCACAAAGTAAGCGACATCAATCTGTTAAGAACAGAATCTTTAAAACTTGATAAAAATCTCATTGATATCGATTCAATACTTCCTATAATATTCCTCAAATTATCAGAGTGGTGACAAATAGTTCTTGCAGAATTAGTAGTGGCGATAGTAAGTTTTGAAGATCTTGTTCTTGACAGGTTGATATCGCTTACCTCATACATTTATATTCTAGATGCATTTATAACCATAAAAGTTTTAATTATATTATACTATTAATCAAGAAATATAATTAAAATTTTTGATTACCTTGTAAATGCACATAGAATACATGTGCACAAAGCGACATCAACCTGTCAAGAATAGGATCTTTAAAACTTGATAAAAATCTCATCGATATCAACTCAATACTTCCTACAATATTCCTCAAATTATCAGAGTGGTGACAAGTATTTCTTGCAGAATTAGTAGTGGTGATAGCAAGTTTTGAAGATCTTGTTCTTGACAGGTCGATATAGCTTACCTCATATATTTGTATTCTACATGCATTTATAATCATAAAAGTTTTAATTATATTATGCTATTGACCAAGAAATATAATTAAGTTATTGTTACAGTTGCATTTAAAGTGACTAATGTCTTTACTAAATAATTATAGACAAAAAATAACTTTCAAACTTCTATAACGTAACAACACTATGCAGTGGTTACTCACTATCACTAATGGTACAAACTCACTACTTCACTCACTAAAAGCTCATTCACTCTTTAAATTACTAGAGTGGTAACAAGTAGTTTTTATAGAATTAGTAATGGTAATAGCAAGTTTATCAATAAACAATAAGTAACCATTATGTAGTGCTGTTACGTTAGAAGGTTAAAAGTAATTTTTTGTCTGTAATTTTTTAATACACATATTTAATCACTTTAAATGCAACTGTAACAATAACAGAATAATATTTCTTGGATAATAATAATAAATATAACTCATACTTTTTGCAATTAACGTATGAATACATGTAGAATACACATAAGATAAGCGACATCCAACTGTCAAGAAAAATTAGGTTAAGCATCAATCGACATGTTCGCGGGCTCAGCTGAGCGACAAGCGTGTTCACAGTCGCCACCTATACAGGTCTGATGGAACTGGACATTTTGACGACGAATTTCGGACGTGATAGTTTTTCACGATTTCGTACTTTGAACTAAAATATTTCGACTTACAGTGCACGTAGGACAAAAGTAAAGACAGTTTTGTTATGTAAGTCAACCCCAAGGAATCCATTGAGCTCACTTAGAATTCGATCAGATTAGCCGTTTAGGTAGTACGATAATCTTGCCTCCAATCAACTACCCAGATAGCCAAACCTGCGCGAGCAGATTTCGAACAAAGCCTGTTATCATAGTTTGATGGCAAATAGGCAACAAATTTAACGCAGAATCTGTCATATTAAATTATGCTGCCAATCTGCGGTCAAATATGCGCCAGATCCTGCTGTCGGATATTTGATGGCAGATTTGTACCAAAAACCGCGCAAGACTTGCAGTAATTTGATGGCAGATTGGCAGCAGAAACTGAGCAAACTCTGCGCGCAGACTCTACGCGTAGTTTGGCAACAGGACCTGCGCGGTTTCTGCTGACAATCTGCTCGCACGGCCTGTCGCACAGGTCCTGTCGACAAAACACGAGCCTAATGAGGACACAGATGGCTATGGTTTTGATGTGGAGATCTGATCAAAATTGGCGTCAATCTGCGCGCATTCTGCTAGCATTTTGCTTACTGGGAAGTGTTGTAAGCTGTAAGCCGTAAGAACTAACCAATTATAGCCGATTATTTTTGTAATAATCGATTGTGATTCGCCAATTCTTACAGCTTACAACTTACGACACGTATTGTAGACCAGTACCGCGATTCTGTAACTCGTTATTGGAGTTAATGACACTTTCGTTATCGTTGCGCAGCTTTTGTATATCGTAGAAAAGCTGCGCAACAATAACGAAACTGTCGTTAACTCCAATAACGAGTTACAGAATCGCACCACAGGGGCTGTATTCCGTACTCGCGTACCGATATTTGTCGGTGTCGTTAGCAGTATTGCGCAGCTTTTTTGTTATATGAAAAACCTGCGCAATGCCGCGAACGACATCGACAACAGTCGATATGCAGGTACGGAATACAGCCCCAGCGGCGCGATTCTTTAACTCATTATTGGAGTTAACAACACTTTCGTTATCGTTGCACAGCTTTTGTATACCGTAGAAAAGTTGCGCAACGATAACGAAACTGTCGTTAACTCCAATAACGAGTTAAAGAATTGCATCACAGGCCTTAGTTTTTCCGAACACTCTGTGTCTCCACCAGCATGACGACATAGATAAATCTTGAGTCAAATTTGCGCAAAGAAAAAGAAAAAGAGGAAGAACGACGTTAGTTATAGAAAAACGTTATTTATATTTACAAATGGAGCGTCATCGATGTTGTAGCCGGTGTGATATAATTCCTTATTAAAAGGACCCCGCACATTTTATAGGAAAAAAGTGGCTTCGGTCAAATTGGCTGAGATTATGAAAATATTGTAGTTTAGGTGATGCTGATTAAAAGTTTCCTTCGGCAAAAATCTCTAAAATCAAAATTATAAAGGATACGATGACTAAAAGTGAGTGCTGTTGGAGCTTAAGAATGCCTGCTTTTGTATACACATATTAAGTTAATATACAAATATTTGAAAAAACATATACTAACTTATACTAAGACTAACATAAGGTTAAGATGCATCGAACAATTGAAACTGTCAATTAAATAAAGTCAGGCGAAAGTTAATTAAGAAAATTAAAAAAGATATCATGTATTAATTTTTTTAAATACATGCCATTTTTAGACTGACCTTTCTTGGATTGACAGTATAGATTATTTGATGCACCTTAAGTTTGCATTTGGCTCTTATAGACTTTTATATTATATTATTAGATTAAGTTACTTAAGTAGTATCATTATTAGAATAAAGAAGTATTATTAATAATATCACGTAAATGTAGATAAACGTTTAACTTACTTTCTGTATTTTCAATAGTACTGTTTTCAGAGATACTGTTCGTAGAGGTTTGCTAAAACAGATAAAACAGATAATTGAATATTAATCAATGCTACTTATTTTATATATCTATGTTAACGTAAAACGTTTGTGATATTTACGTTCATTGATATTCTCGAATGTATCGCATAGGCTGCATAATACTTTTTTTCGCCTCCTTCAATAATAATGTTGCAAAAGTCATATCTATAAAAGAAATAACAGTATGACAATTTATGACAATATCAAGATTACAAATGGTACTTTTACTTTTTCATGCTTTCACCGCATCTTCACGGCTCACAATTATTTTATATTCTTTATTGTCTTCCGCGTCTATAAGAGACAGGTCTTCGATAGATGCCGTCATATTGCTACTCAGAAGGTCCAAACTCCCTCTTGTAAAAATTGGTTTGCAGTTTTTAATGCCCTCTGCGGTAAGCCCCGGATGTGGGCGGACTAAACGAGTGACGTCATGCGGAATGGGGATGCGCGCCAATTGAAATATGAATTGGCGAGTACAGATAGACGTTCTTGCAACGTTACAGCGAGCAACAGTGAGCAACATACAAAGCGATAAATATATATTAATATCTTATTATTAATCATCATAGAGTAGTAATAGTGTCGTAATAGTAAAATAATTAACAAATAAGTAGAAATAGCAACTAATCTATAATATATATATATACACACAAACGTTGTGCGTACATATCATAAACACACACGCACACATGCGCACGTACACACACATACGTGCATATCCATATATATAATATATTAACAATATCAACAACTGCTATATATATATTGCATATATTAACCTCATTAACCTTATTATACCATAATAATATAATACATATATAAGCTCACAATTTTATGCAACATCTATTACTACGATGTCAAATAGACTCGCAAGAAAGTTCCATATTAACTATATAGTACATTTACTCTACATATATAATAAATATTTCATAATAATGACAATTTATTGGTACATTTCATTTTACAAATATTCTGTTAAGATGATTCACCATATCATTACTATTTTGCTGAAATAGTATTTAGAAAAATTGCGTTAACAATTAACAATATTTTATAAATACTCGATATTTCTACAAGTAATTTGTTAAATAAGACCATATCATTGTATATTTACAAATTTCATACTGATACTGCCATTATTATATATTATATATTATATATATTTCCTAAAAGTTATGTTATGAGGGATATTGATGCGAAAAATTATTATAATGGGAGGATAATATTTGACAATATCAGACGTACACTCGTGAACTAAAAGGTATGTGCACCGATTTTTTGTTGACTTCGGAACGCGCTCCAACTTGAGGAGAAAGATAACCACTGCTTCATACGTCAGCGCTGTCACTTATTACGAGAGCAGAAGGATGGCATATACGAGTGTCAAATAAGTAGTGATTGTGGCGTAGACACAAATGTCTTGGAGACTTTGAGTTATAATTGAAGAAATGAAGAAAACAAATAGTGATTGTGAAGAAAAGTGGCAAAAGGCTTCATAAAATTTTTAAAACAGTATATTAAAGGAGAGTATTAATTGCCTAATAATATTTTAAGTGAAAAATATTTTTAAATTTGAGTGTAAGTTAAAAAAGTTATAAACCATAATTTCTTTAATGTTAATTTGATTATGATATATTGATTACGTTAATGTTAATGTTAAATTTGTCATCGACGTTGAATGAATATATATATAATGCTATTATTTCCATAGGTGAGTAATTATATTATTGTGTTCAGCAGAAGTAAGCAGCAGACCAAGTTGAATGATATGAGTATCTTGTTAAAAAAATATCATTCGACTTGGTTTGCTGCTTATTTTTTATGAGCGCAATAATATAATTGTCCACCTATGTAAATGATAGCATTACATGCATATTCATTTAACGTCGATGGCAAATTTATAGCTATAAAATTATTAACATTAAAGAAATTATGGTTTATAACTTTTTTAACTTACACTCAAATTTAAAAATATTTTCACTTAAAATATTATTAGACAATTAATACTCTCCTTTAATATGCTGTTTTACAAATTTTATGAAGCCTTTTGCCACTTTTCTTCACAATCACTATTTGTTTTCTTCATTTCTTCAATTATAATTCAAAGTCTCCAAGACATTTGTGTCTACGCCACAATCACTACTTATTTGACACTCGTATATGCCATCCTTCTGCTCTCGTAATAAGTGACAGCGCTGACGTATGAAGCAGTGGTTATCTTTCTCCTCAAGTTGGAGCGCGTTCCGAAGTCAACAAAAAATCGGTGCACATACCTTTTAATTCACGAGTGTACAAGTCGAAATCTTTCCCACTCTATAACGATAAATTTATTTTCAACGTTAAACCGACCCTGAATCTTCATTAATATTTCAGTTAATTAACTTTCCTTTTTCTCAAGTTAATTATTGTTAAACTGGATATGATCAAATATCCAGCGAGGAAAGACTCATTGATCGACGTCGAAACAATGTCAAATCAATGTCGAATTGACGGTTTCGATCGCTGAGTCTTTTCTGAATATGTAATGATTAACAAATCTTCTTTCATTAATAAATGATAATTTGACTAATAACTAATAATTGTACGTGGTTGTTCATTAAATGATTGAGAAATTTTTGTTCACTTTAAACTAATATCTACAGCTGCATCACGAGTTACCGGATAATCTGTATAATTTTGTTTTTTGATTTTCTAATTCTCATTATCTTATGAACATATTATGAACAGAGATACACATTTATGCATATGAATATAATTGCATGCATATAATTGTGTGTGTGGATATGTTGCTCGTTGTTGCTCGCTATAACATTTTTCTGTGCTTGCCAATTAATACTTCAGTTGGCGCATATCCCCACTCCGCATGACGTCACCCGTTTAGTTCGCCCACATCCGGGGCCTACCGCAGAGGGCGGTACAAGTAGATTGTGCCGTTTACCAGACGGGAGTAAAGCCAGCGGCACACGGTGCTTGTTTTAGTGCTGGATGAAAATACTGCGTTCTGATTGGTGCATTTCCATCCATCTTCGGAAATGTACCAATCACAACGCAATATTTTCATCCAGCAAGCAATCCAGCACGAAAACAAACACCGTGTGCCGCTGGCTTTATTTCTCCTTGTTGCTATTGCGAATGCCTCACTTCGCGAGCCGCAGTGATCAAAGCAGGAAGTGACGTGTTTTCTAGGGGAATCTATTACGTCACATAAACACGGAAACGTATCGACAACTTACTGTCGCTTATATCGGAACGACATTTGTAGTACTGTCACTATTGGCAGTGAATATCGGAACGCAGCCAATGGCAGCAGGAGTAAGGCCCCTTGCACAATGCCAGGCAACAAGCAATAAGAATAAAAATAGACCAATCACAATCGACTATTACAAGAATAATCTATTGTGATTAGTCTATTTTTATTCTTATTGCCTGTTGCCTGGCATTGTGCAAGGAGCTTAATGGATGAGAAAAATAGTCTTTAGACGTAGGCTGTAGAATTAAGGCTTAGTCTACAATACGTGTCGTAAGTTGTAAACCGTAAGAATTGGCGAATCACAGTCAATTATTACAAAAATAATCGGTTACAATTGATCAGTTCTTACGGCTTACAGCTTACAACACGTAGACCAGGGGTCCTATTCTTGAACTATTTGCGTATACGTAAGTGGCAAGTTTCGACTAATCGCAATGGAAAATTCCTAGAATCGTACTCTTGACAGTCGCAAGTGAAACGTATACGCAAATTATCATTCGCAACGAATGGGTAATACCATCCGTTTCTCTCGAAACGTATGTGATACGTTATGCAAAGTACAGAAAGTGGAATATAAGAGTACATATAGAAGCACACTGTTATTAAGAAGAAGAATAATTCAACGTTAAGACGACTAAAAGAATGGAAAATAATAGCTGACTTTACATATCCGTAAGAGAAATAATAAATACGAAATTTAAGAGAAAATTGCATATAAATTTCACGTAAGCAGTAAGAAATAGACCAACCACAATCGATTATTATAAGAATAATCGATTATGGTTGATACTGCTTACGCTTACAATCTTAGGCCCCTTGCACAATGCCAGGCAACAAGCAATAAGAATAAAAATAGACCAATCACAATCGACTATTACAAGAATAATCTATTGTGATTGGTGTATTTTTATTCTTATTGCCTGTTGCCTGGCATTGTGCAAAGGGCTTTATTCTTGCAGCCATTGTAGATGGGTCTTAACGCTCGACTGTCTACAGCGTCGTCTACAATGGCAGTAAGCAGTAAAAAGTAAGCATAAACGGTAAGAAATAAACCAATCACAGTCGATTATGACAAAAATAATCAACTGTGGTTGGTCCATTTCTTACTGTTCACGCTTACTTCTTACTACTTACTGCCATTGTAGACGACGCTTAAAATGCCATGTAGTAAGTATTACAATAAGCCAATCAGCGTCGAGGAATATTGCCCATCTATATACAGACGATAAATGTCAAAACATTGCGGTGTAATAACGTAAGTTAGTGTATAGGTTATGAACATAGATTTGCAAAAAATTGAAATTTTTTTATTTGTGATATTATGGAATCATGGGCGTAAGAATATATGGACGGAGTATAAAGTGCTTTTATAGGCGCGGGGTATTGCCCTTGAAGAGTGAGGGGAATCTATCGTCGGTCATCTTGGTCTCTCATATTTAAGGTCTACTATCACGTCGTGAGACGTCATTATCCTCCGTTAATCGAGACTATTATATCAGGTGTACTAAAAAGAAATCCATTATTTTTGCATGAAATTGAAGGCTTTAATTATCATAGTTAGAATGGTCCGATTTAGGTCAAATATGCGCCGTTTTGTTGGATAACTTGTTGTCATTTTGAAGGTAATTTCATTATGCCTCTCTCATAGAAGCCCTCGTCCCTATTGGCAAAAAATTGAGACAGTCGATTTTCACAAGCCTCTCTTGAAGCGAATTTTTCACCAGAAAAATTGTTCGCCATGGACAGGAACAGATGGTAATCACTTGGTGCTAGGTCCGGACTATAAGGTGGATGCATAAGAACCTCCCAGCCAAGCTCCCGGAGCTTCTGGCGAGTCACTATCGATGTGTGTGGCCTGGCGTTGTCCTGATGGAACACAATTCCTCTCCTATTGGCCAAAGCTGGCCGCTTC